GGCACTCAATCAGTGCTGGTTTTTATTCATTCCTGAGGTTACATACAATTTATGTAAACTTAGGCACATTACTTACCCTTTCTGGGCCTTTGTTTTCTTATCTGTAAAATGGGATCATTATAGCATCAACTTCATAGGGTTGAGGAATCAGTAATCAAATGCACATAAAATGCTTACTAGCACAGCACTCAGCCTTGCTCTATATATGTTAATTACTTTATTCTTTACTTCCAGGTTATTGCCTGGCACTCAAAAAAACCAAAAGTTCAGCATTAGTTAAGTAGCAATTTAGAGCAGTGTCCTAAATTTTATTCCATGGAACACTGTCCCAACAGAATTTTAACAGGAGGAAAGAATGGTCCATGGTCAAATACTTTTGGTAGACTCTGAACTAAACAAAATTAAAGTTTTCTTTAGGTAGGACTTCTCAAAACCTTTAATATGCCAGGGAAGGTTGGGAACCAATAAGAGGAAGGTAAGGTGAGTGCAGTATTTCCCAGATTTTCGGCAGCAGAACTCCTACTTCTCTTTCCATGGAGACACCTGTGGGTTCTCCACGTTCTGATAAACCACAATTTGGTGTCTGTAGCATTCTACATATATTTGGGACAGCACTGCTTTTCAGATCAATTTGGGTCTGTTCATTCACCTCTTATAGAAATTAATCCTTTATTAGTTTAATAGAGCTTTGTTTTGTTAATAGCAAAAAGTTCAACCAAAGGCCATTCCTGAGCTTTGTTACAAACTCCAGACATTCATATTCAGCACTATTTGAGTTGCTAAGGCCCAGCAGGGAGGAAGCCTGTTGTAACTTTGGTATCAGATAGACCTGGATTCAAAAGCCAATTCTGTCACTTACTCATGTGTCATTTTAGGCAAATGGCTTAACTTCCTCGAGCCTCAATTTGCTTATGAGTAAAGCGGGGCTGAGACCGATACCTTGCAAAACCGTTATGAGGATTACAGGAGCCAAGGCATGTAAAACACCAATCCTAGAGCCTGGCACTCACTACTAGGCTTTTAGCAAATATGTTCCTTGCACCTCTGTGTCTTATCTGTTCCCTCTTGTGGGGCAAAAAAGAATCTACTAATTAGTTCTGCAGCATTTCCTTTATTCTAAAACCATCTCTTTCAAACCTCAAGGGCTCTCTGGTCCCTTGTGCTGGAGGAGCCTGAGGTATGGGAAGGCAGCTGGGCTTCCCCTCATTTTCACACATGGGATTTAACAGAACTTGATCAGTCAGACTCCTCAGCCTTTAGCTTTCCAAACTGAGCTTTCATCTTTCCTATCTGTCTTCAAATAACCCTCAACCCAAACTTTGCCACTTCTCTGATCGTAGGAACAGCAGGATTACAGGACAGTTGGGCAGATCTAGGTTCAAGTCAGGACTCTGCCACTTCCTGTGTCACTTTGGGCACATCCCTTGACCTCTCAGAGCTTCCATTTTCTCAGCTCTAGAAAACCTCATCTATTTTCTGGAAAAACAGGTATTAACTGGCTGGACCATAGTGACATACAGGCAGGCCACCCACCAGCACACTGCTGTCACTGAGATTTAGCTCTCTCCTGAGATTTAGCAGATGGTTTTCCTTCCTCTAACTCCTGAATGTGGCATTCAAGGCTCCAAGTCCTTCTCCAGCCTCAACTCTTGCTAAAACCTCCCATCTGCCACCATTCCTGCCATGGCAGAACCCTGTAATGTCTGAATATTCCATGTTTCTGATTCACAGCTGGGCCTTCAAACATGTTGTTGACCCCTCTCTGACTTGGTCTATCCTCCTCTTTCTGTCTGGTGACTTTCTTCAAGGCCTACCTTCAACACTCTTCTGTGAAGCTCTTCCTGAGTCCCATGACCTCTGCTCTCAGAGACTCCATTTTCTCAGCTCTAGAAAACCTCATCTATTTTCTGGAAAGGCAGGCATTAATTGGTTGGACCACAGTGACATAAACGTCCATACACATCCCCATATATATCCTTAATGACAATCCTGATCCCACTGTACTGCAAAGGTCTGAGTTTGCCTCTCCTGCTAGACTCAATTCCTCCAGTTGTGCCACTTTCTGGCTGGTTAGTCCCTTACCCTCATTTAACCTTAGTTTCTTCATTTACAAAATAGAGATAATAATTCTTGAAGTTCAAGGAGGTTCAGGTTTGTGAAAAGTCCCAACACACTGCCTGGCACACAGAGCAGGCACTTCAGTCAGTACTGGCTCACTGATTCAAACAGTTCTGAGAGATATCTCTCTGCCAGACTCTCTCAGCAATAGGAAGTGGGCGAGTATCAGCTACAAGCAGAAGCAATTGGTCTGAAGGCACACCCAGCACCTAAGGACAACCCATTGTCCCTCCTCGGAACCCCAGACACGCTTCACAAACAGATGCCATGTGCAGAAGGATTCACATTTATTGGTTCAAATACAGTACCTAACATTTGCTAAACATGCATTTCACACTAATTGGTCACATTTCCACAGGTAGTCAATTCACAGAAAAGGGCCCATCCCTTGCCAGATGGCAGGGTGGGAGGTAGCAGAGGGCCTGGGTAGCAGAGCCCGCCAACTATCACTTGGTCATGCAGGACTGATGGAGCCAGGTTGGCGGGCAGCCCTTGGCCGGCCCTTTGGGGACAAGAGCTCAAAGACATCCTGTTTACTCGACTCCTATACAGGACTGTGGGTAGAGGTGGGCCTCGGGTAGGCAGCCCAGGGGTAGGCTCATGGATGCACGTGCCACCAGAGCTCCTGAGGGTGGTGTCATGGGAGGTGGTGCTCCCTGTGCCTTGGATCATTGGAAGGAAATGGAAGCCTCTTCAAGGGGGTGGCTAGTCCCTGGCTGGGCAGGTGGGAAGGACTCCCCAGACATGGCCCAGACATTACAACACAGCCACAAGCCCCTACTGCAGGCCTAGGATGGCAACAGAGACAAAAACACCAACACCCCAGGGCAGGCGGGGTTTCTTTCCTAACAGAAACATGTAAACAGAGCAGGAGCTACAGTATTCTTTTCCCACAAGATTCCTCAGAGAGGAATAGACCAGGATGTCACTCAAGAGGTAGTTTTTTTTTTTTTTTTTTTTTTTTTGTTCATGGAAATTTGAGTCAACAACATTATCACCTATTATAAGACATTTCAGAGAAAGAAAACAATGGTCACCAAAGGGCAAAAATGATCCTTTGGCTGGCAGGGCTGGCTCTCAGATTTGGAAGACTAGCCTCCACCATTAAGACAACTTTTTTCTTGGGCTCGAAGCAAGCTCTGGCCTGATTCACAGCTTCCATTTGAGCCTGCAACTGATTCCTGAGCAGGCTGTGGCCTATTGAGGGCCACAGGCCCAGAGAAGGGAGGCCAGATGGGGACTGGATTAGGCAGAGGGACCAGGCATCTTGTGAGCCAGTATAGGCAGGGTCACTGTGGCTCATGTTGCACGACAGCCATAATTCTTCAAGTCTCAAGGGAGCCCAGCTCTGGCCAAAGAGGAAGCCCCAGCATCTTTTCTGGGGGCCCTGCCTCTGAGGAAACAGTCCAGGTCTGGCTCCCAAGCCCAGAAAAGAAGCTGTTGTTTGTGGTAGCCAGGAGAGGGGTTTCTGGGGACCCTGTAATTAAATACACATCCCTGAGCTGTGGTCCTAGAAACCCTTGCCTCAAGGCTAACCAGTTTCCAGCACCTGGTGGAATGATTGCCGTTTCTTATCCTGAGACACAGATAAAACATCATTTCACAGACACTGGACATAGATGCTTCAAGCTGAGGGAAAAGGGAGGAATGATCAACTGCAAAGGCAGAGGGGAGTGCAGGGGGACTCTCATGGATCAAGTTGGGGAAAGTAAGAGTGGTGGGGTTTTTGTTTAGTTTTTATTTTTTTATTTATTTTATTTTTTTACTTTAAAAAAATCAAAGAAAAATTTGAAGTTTAATAAAAGGGCTGGTCTAAAAGACTGGATTTCTTAAAACAATTGCAAAATTTTAAAAAGCAACAAGGAAAAAAAGACATAGACCAGGGGCCCAGAGCTGAAGACTTGGAACCACTGCTCAACTTCCTGCCCTGCTGGGAGGCCAGAGTCCCTTTACTTTGGCCAACCTTGGACATGGCCTACATGTTGCCCATACTGGGTTTGTCTGTCTGTCTCCGTCTGTCCCATTCCCCAGTAAATTGAGAACAAACAAACCAAGGTAGGATATGGACAGCAGACCAAGGCAGCTAGCTCAGAGAGCCCAGGGCTTTAAGGACCTGATGACACACTGGCCACGGCAGGACTCTCTTCCCTGACAGGGGGTGGTAGGTGAGAGGCACGGTGCTGTGGAGAGGGTGACTGTGATGATGCCATGGAGACCCCTCAGTTCCCTCTATCCCTCCTCCTCTGGATCTGGGGAATAGGACAGAGGTTCTTGCCTGCTGCTTTCTGTCCCTGGAGGTTTGCCCACCTCACTTACGGGATCAGGCCTGGGTGGGGGGCTGGGTATCCTCTGAGCCAGATGGAGTGCTTTGAGACAGGTTCTGGGGAGTTTCTCCAGACTGAAGGTAAGACCACCAAGCTTTGTGAAAGACTCCAAAAGTCTACAAAGGAGCCATAGAGCATGAGTTGTAGGTGAAGTTCCAAGATTCCAAACTTCTGTCTTGGGTCAAGAAAACATTCAAAGGGAAAGGAAAGGAATAGCTTGTACGTTTAAACGCACTGCAATGAGGTGGGATTCTCCTTTACCACACAGCCTTCAGGGTCATATTTTTATGGTGGAAAAATTCTCACTCAAAGTGAGTGCTGCTGGTGGCAGGGGATCAGAGAGAGGACAGAAGGGAGGGGAATTACAGACAACATGCACAACTTTTTTCTTTTCCACTAGCAAAAAGGCTACCTGTTAACCAAACATCATGGGAAGAAAGGCAAAAAATAAACACATCAAACCTCCCCCTCCAACCTTTCTCTGTGTCCTTCAAACTGAATTCACAAATACATCTAGTGGCTGACCTAATGTCTCCACACTGCTAGCTACACTCCTACCTTCCTCTCATAATACCTGAGTTTGCGACGCAACACAGTCACTTTACCCTGTTTAAAAAAAGCCCACGTCATAAAAGGACTGGGTGCAGAAGACATTAAAGGTGGTCCACAGGTCAGGCTCCAGCTCGGAACACAAGGCCACTTGGCTCAGAGATTCTGCAGGGCTCTCAGCAATGAATGGGCTCTTTGTTCTTGTGGAATCTGCTGCAAACATTTGTAAAAATGGATTTGTACAATGGCAACTTGCAGAACCTTTCCCCCACTCCACAAATTAACAACTTGCTCTGTTTAATGCTGCATTATCAAAGAGACATGTTGCTGCCTCATGGAGAGCAGTTCCCTCTGATACCCAACCCAACCAGTAAAATGCTTAATTTAAGAGAAAAGCAATTTCAAAAAATAATAATAATTTGGCCGATGGAGATCTAGCAAAGAAAGATGCAGGACATAAGAGCCATCCTGGAGAAGGGGTCTCTGATATGTGTATCTTCCCCTACCCTGAGGAAAGCGGCTCGGAGTCTGACCTGTAGCCAAAGAGTGTGATCTAGTTGGTTAAATAAAAGAGCAGAAAAACAAAACTATTGTGAATTTAGAAATAAACAAATACACACACACAAATCTTCCCATTGACATGTGAAAAGCATTCTGGTTGGCGCTTTTCCTGAGGACCACGTCTCTTCGTTTTTTTTCCTTTCTCAGAGCAAATGGGGAAACGGCATTGGGAAGTAATGCTCTGAGTTTTAGATCCATCAAGGGATGAAGTCATCACTCTGCTGGTACCCGTAACATTTCACCGGAAAGAAAAAATTACAATCTGACACGGACTACCCGATATGCACACAATGTGGTGGCCCTCTGAGTAAGTGTGCTAGGCTGAGCTGGGAAGAGAGCAAACGGCCTTTGACTAAACAGGCAAAAGGAGGTCCTGTAGGCCCCTCAAGCCTAGCCAGGGATGTACCCAGCTAACTGGCCTGTCTGCTGCATTGGCTGTGGGAGGTACGTGGGTTTAGGCAGGGACAACTGCTGTAGTAAGGCAGAGAAGGGAAAAGCACCTGAAAGAGTTCCATGACAGACCTTGTGTGACTGCTGGCCAAAGCCAAGAGGGTAAGGAACATTTCCCAGGACTAGGTGGGGCAGGTAGTGAAAGAACAAGGGGTCCAGGCCATACCTGCAGAGGGGGCAGCCAGGCCTTTAGGAACATGAGGTAGTTTAAAGCCCCCCTTCCCTTCCAGGAGCTTTGGACTCCAGCCCTCCAGACCTTGGTCAGCCAGGCCACTGATAACTCTAAGGGGCAGCTGGGCCACTCTGGGTCTTGGGCTTACTATTCTGAAGAAACCTGGTTTCATTTTGGGAGACATTAGGAGAGCATGGAGTAGAATGTAGGGACAAAAATTCTGGTCAGCAGACGGGTGAATGATCCTTCCAGCTGTTTGGAAAGGAGCCTGCAGTTTCAGATTCAGATCTGGAGGTGGAATGGGATGGGGTGGGGAGAGAAACAGGGAACTCCAAAAGAGGAGTGTTTAAGCTATTAGCAGTCTGGCCTTTGTCCCACTACTCTTTGAAGGTGAAAGGAGAGTAAATCAGTAGCGGGCATCAGGATTCTGGACATGACATTCTGAACTCACCTGTTCTTTTCAAAGGGCCAATAGGAAGTCAAGTTTATAAGGGAGAGGCAATGAGTCTAAGGAAAGTAAGGAAACTAGGTAGCTGTGAGCCCCAAGGGAGATGGTAGGCAAATCCCAAGGATTAGCTTACCGCTAGGGCTTTGCCTAGGTGAAAAGGTGACAGTGGCAGAAATTAGTAGTGGTCGTATGGATGGTGGGGAGGGGAGACCCCACAGTGTGGTGTGAGAGAAGAAACCCTTCTCCCTGAGGACTCGTCTGGATGGAGGACACCTAACTTAGATTTGGTCACTGTGCCCAACTCTTAGCTTTCATGCTTTCCAAAGAAAAGAGGTAGCTAAATCCTCATCTCTTGTCCTGTTCCCAATGTCTCACCCACTTTGCTTAGTAAACCTCCTAATACCACTTTCGAGGAGGGGCAGCTGCTCCAGGGGTACATTCACCATCTTTCCTGGGAAAAGGCAGAAAAAGAAGAGTTAGCCGTGGCCACTAGTAGAAGGGCGTCAAACTTTGCCTCCTCTTGGGCTGGTGAAAGAACACTGCCTTTTCTAGTGACTGGGGCGAGGAAAGTGCCACGAGTTATTACAAAGGAAAAGGCAGAAAAAGAAGAGTTAGCCGTGGCCACTAGTAGAAGGGCGTCAAACTTTGCCTCCTCTTGGGCTGGTGAAAGAACACTGCCTTTTCTAGTGACTGGGGCGAGGAAAGTGCCACGAGTTATTACAAAGGTAAAAGAGACTGGGCTAACATCCTATTACCCAGACCTATTTTGGTGCCTTAGGGAGTCCAGTAATGGTGCAAGCTCTAATTGTTGCTACTATCCAAAGAATACTGAACTCTATGCTAGGTGTTTAAATACATTATCTCATTTAATTCTCACAATATTTCTGTATGACAGATTTTACTTTTTATCCCCATTTTACAGATGAGGAATCTGAAACTGAAAGGTATTCCTAGATGTCCTCTTAGAGCGAAAATAACGAGAAACTTATATCCTATTTCATTTCCTAGTAGATTCTTTAACTAGCATTCTATAAAATACTGCTCTTCAGAATAGTATAACGGGTTAATAAAACGTAGCAAGGAAAAAGGAGATGGTGTTTACAGGGGGCAAATAAATTGAGAAATTCAGGGTTAAAACAGGTTTTTTTTTAATTGGAGGATTTCTAAGAGCACTCAGTATGCTAATATACTTTGTAAATATGAGGCTATAGTTCTTCTCCCTGACAGAACCCTACAGTCACCTGCCAATTTTTTTTTTTAAATACTGATGACCAGGCTCCACTACATATCATTAAGTTAGAATCTTTAGAGGTGCAGCGCAAGAATGGATATTTTTTAAAAGCTTCTCAGGTGATGCCAAGGGCTGTCAGTGTTGACAACCCAGCTCTGTGGGGGAAAGTGGGGTATAATTTATTATTGACCTGTATTTCACAGAGCACCTGATTAATATTTTGCTTGGTAGAACACAGTTTTAAAAATGCTGAGACATACACTATCAAAACACTCCTAAAATTCCAATAGTTTATTTAAGTCCAGTTCACACCTCCTAGACTATTTTGTGGCCCAAAAAGTAAAATTTGATTTTATCAGACTGAAAATTTTTTTCCTTCAAAATCGTACTGCTGAATTTTACAGGAACAATCTCGGCCCAGAGGTCACATTTCTGAGCTGCCCCTCAGTATGTGTTAGATAACTATAAACAAGAATCTTTACCAAATGAAGTAAAGCAACAACAAAAGCCAGGATTTCATGTTGAAATGGACCTATTTAAATGTCAAGAAGCTCAGAAAGGGGTTAAGACCACAAAACAACTAAAACAAAAATTATTTTGTGAACACAGAATTTTTGAGAATTATTTTAAAGATATCACTTTTAATGAAAGATCCTCAAAAACCTATAGGCAATTCTATGAAATAAAATCAATTAAAACATTGAGATATAGTTAGTTCACATGCCATAAAATCCACCCTTTTAACGTATATAATTCAGGAAATGACGTTAATTTGAGAAACTCTGAGCTTCTTTCCCCATCCACAGAATGGCCATAATATCACCAACCACCAGTCCTGCAGAAATTGAGATTAAATGATATCAGGTCACAAAGGACCCTGCACATCACAGGAGCTTAGGAAATGTTAGATTCTCTTCCCTACAAAGAAAAAACAAACTTCTCATTATTTCTGAGGGCAGGGGTAGTACCTCTTTTATTCAGCTGGTGATAGGCTTCGCATCAGCATCCTGAAAACATTGCTTTCCTCATTGCCTTCACAAGTTAAGAAAAGCAAGGAAGGGTTGGAAGCCCAGGACCCAGAATGTTACCTGCAATATAGCGAATCTCAGGTAAGCACATCATGAGGTCAGGAAAACGGTTCGGCTGATGTGTATATTTATATTCAGTGAAATCCTGGCAAATGTACCAATATCGTTTGTTCAATTGTTCCAGCTGCGAGGCACTGGTCAGACCCCTGATATCTGTGAAAAAAACCACAGGAAACGGGAGGGGCTTTATAATGTGGAAGAAACACTGGCTCCTTGAATATGTGTATCTTTCAATGAAAAGTTATTAAACGTTGTCTCAGCAGGGGATCTTCTCTCTTTCTGACAGGGAGGAACAAAAGCTCTGGGTAAGGGAAGAGAAGATAAAGGAAAAAATTATCAAGGACAATCACTAGACTGAGCCCCCTGAGGGCTAGGCTTATCTTTCTCAACTCTGTACCCAGCTCCCAGCACAGGGCTTGGCACAAATGGGCACCAGTGGATGTTGAACAACTAACTGAATAATCTACCTTTCCCAATTTATCCTTCACAGTATCTTTAAATTTGCTCTTTGCTGGAACCATTCAGAAATCTTCAGGTTTCTACATACAATTACACATGGTATCCTATGTCCTTCTACTCATACTATTCTACCTGGGCCACTGGTATTCTACTGGGTCACTCGTTTTTTTTTTCCTGTATATAAGTATACCTTGTTTTATTGTGCTTTGCTTTACTGCACTTCACAGATACTGCATTTTTTACAAATTGAAGGTGTGTGGCAACTCTGCACCAAGCAAGTCTATTGGTGTCATTTTTTCCAATGGCATTTGCTCATTTCGTGTCTGTCACATTTTGGTAATTCTTGCAATATTTCAAGCTTTTTCATTATTATTAGATTTGTTAGGAGGATCTATGATCAGTGATCTTTGATGTTACTATTTTGTTTTGTGGTGCCACAAACCGTGCCCGTATGAGACGGTAAACTTAATTGATAAATGTTGTGCGTTCTGACTATTCCATTAACTGGCTGTTCCACTGTCTCTCTCCCTCTCATCGGGCCTCCCTGTTCCCTGAAACACAACAATATTGTAATTAGGCCAATTAATAATCGTACAATCGCCTATAAGTGTTGAAGTGAAAGGAAAAGTCACATATCTCTCACTTTAAATCAAAAGCTAGAAACAATTAAGCTCAGTGAAGAAGGAATGTCAAAAGCCGAGACAGGCTGAAAGCTAGGCCTCTTGTGAGTTAGCAAAGTTGCAAATGCAAAGGAAAAGTTCTTAAAGGAAACTAAGAGCACTACTCTAGTGAACACACAAATGATAAGAAAGCAAAACAGCCTTATTGCCGATATGGAGAAAGTTTGAGTGGTCTGTATAGAAGATCAAACCAGCCACAACATTCCCTTAAACCGAAGCCTAATCCAGAGCAAGGTCCTAACTCTCTTCAATTCTATAAAGGCTGAGAGAGGTGAGGAAGCTGCAGAAGAAAAGTCTGAAGCTAGCAGAGGTTGTTTCATGAGATTTAAGGAAAGCCGCTATCTCCATTAAAGGGTGAGGCAAAGCAGCAAGTGCTAATACGGAAGCTGCAGCAAATTATCTAGAGATCTAGCTAAGATAATTAAAGAAGATGGCTACACTAAACAACGTATTTTCAATGCAGACAAAACAGCCCTATATTGGAAGAAGACACTATCTAGGACTTTTCATAGCTCGAGAGAAGTCAATGTCTGGCTTCAAAGCGTCAAAGGACAGGCTGGATCTGGTTAGGGGCTAATGCAGCTGATGACTTTAAATTGAAGCCAATGCTCATTTACCGCTCCGAAAATCCTAGGGTCCTTAAGAATTATGCTAAATCTACTCTGCTTGTGTTCTATAAATGGAACAACAAAGCCTGGATGACAGCACTCTGTTCACAACCCAGTTTACTAAATATTTCAAGCTCACTGTGCAGATCTACTGCTCAAAAAAAAGATTCCTTTCAAAATATTACTGCTCACTGACAAAGCACCTGGTCACCCAAGAGCTCTGATGGAGATGTACAATGAAATTAATTTTGTTTTCATGCCTGCTAACACAACATCCATTCTGCAGCCCATGGATCAAGGAGTAATTTCAACATTCTAGTCTTACTATTTAAGAAATACATTTCCTAAGGCTATAGCTTCCCATAGATGGTGATTCCTCTGAAGGATCTGGGCAAAGTAAACTGAAAACCTTCTGGAAAGGATTCACCATTCTAGATGCCATTCACGATTCACTGGAAGAGGTCAAAATATCAACATTAACAGGATTTTGGAAGAAGGTGATTCCAACCCTCATGGATGACTTTGAGGGGTTCAAGACTTCAGTGGAGGAAGCACGGCAGATGTGGTGGAAACAACAAGAGAACGAGACAGAATGAGAAGTGAAGCCTGAAAACGTGACTGAATTGATGCAATCTCATGATAAAACTTTAGCAGATGAGGAGTTGCTTCTTATGGATGAGCAAAGAAAGTGGTCCCTTGAGAAGGAATCTACTCCTGCTG